CATGTATGACATCATGTCTGTGGCAACTGTCTTTAATACGGATAAAAGCTAAACGTAGGACAATACTTCCTGTGTCTACCGATGACGGATTGCAGAGCCCTGTATCATCACACGCCCCAGGTTAACTATTAAAGGCTTCTTTAAAACCACAGGCACTTGATACATCTTGCTGCGTAGGACAGAACTCAAAGTCACTATTTAACTTTACATGATTTTTTGTTAATAATAGAAGTGGTGGATGAGTGGTGAGCACTGCGGCCTCACACCTGCAGGGCCGTGCATGTGGTTCCTCCACAGTCCCTGAGCCCTGAGATGACTTGCTGTCCTGTGCCAGGTTGTCCTCCAGGGCAGTGACATGCTTAGCTCTGTTGCCATGATCCTTAGTCACACATACTGTAGACTGCTGTCAGTGTTAGAAGATGCTTTGGTCTTGGCCTAGTGTCCGTCTGGGGATGCCACTCACAGCCACTGTCACCGTTTCACTGTCAAGCTCAGCAACGGGCGGCTTGAGCTTCTCGTCTTTCCAGCTGCTCTCTCTCTGCCTGTATTCAGGTGTCCTAATTACGCTAATGAATCTCTCCCATCTGTATGGCGGGGTGGCTGGCAGTTAAACATGTGGCGAGGCCCTCAGGGAGCGGATTTCTGCTGGCCTCTGATGCACAGGTCCGTCTTCGGGTGCATGGACATCAAAGCGGGTCTCAGCCCATAATAACGAGGCTCTGTGGGAGCGTCCTCCTTTACTGCTCTGGTGGATCTTCTCTGCATGTCCTCTGTGTCCTCGTAACATCATGAACAGATTAAAGATTTTAAAAAAAGGGAGGAAAAAAGATCTTTAATTACATTTCAAAGCACCTTTGCATTCTAATAGTCTGGCCTGGAAGTGAAGTTAAAGTCATGTATGTGGAATGTATGTAGACAATCTTCTGTATATCTTGCTGGTATTTCTTTGCATAAATTCAGAGGTGGTTACAACAGATTATGCAAAGTCCCATCCAAAGCGAAGGGAAATTTTAGAATCATCCACTATTCATATAAGAGCTTTGCTACTTACTGTATCTACTGCAGCTACATGCAAGGTCTTAAATATCAAGCAGACGCTGAGTAGGTGAAATATGTCTGTATTTGTATTTTGCTTTCCAATATAGCAGTGGAAGAAAGTATGACAGAAAAATAATTGGGGAAAAAAACACATATTTAGGGTAAACCAAAGGAAAAAGACGATCAGAATAATAAATCGTCACACTTGTTCCATGGCCACCGGAAATAAAGCATAGTTTCTAACAGCGCTGCTCACTGCAGAGACGTTTATGTAAAATGACTGTTTTTGGTCTTTCCGTGATGAATCGCGGCATTGGATTATCGCTCGTAAAATAAACAATATTCACTGAAATATTGCACCGCACAGTGGAGTGATTAATTTTGTAAGAAATGTATTAAATGGGTGTGTTTTGGGTTTGCTGTGTGCCTTGTTCGTAGAAACAGCCAAAGGACAGAATATTTCACAGCTGCTTGAAAACAAGAGCTTCAGCTTTTGCAGTGTTAAAGGAGTTATTACCAGACCTTGGGATTTAAGCAGTAATATATTTTATCCTTATTTTTACACAAAATTGGCATTTGATGATGCTATAAGTATTATATTTACACAAAACAGCACCTGCCTTGACCTTTACATCACTGAGAATGACGGTTGAGTTGTCTTTCTCAAAGAAGGTTTGTGCCAGTGTGTCTCTGTCAGACATGCCCTTGCTAGCCTTGTCAGCTGATGTGTGTTTAAATCTTACAGACTTTCTTGCGTTTAACTTGCCTTTCCTTGTGAACTGCGGCTGAACTATCATCTCGCATTTGATGCTCAAAGGTAGCTGATTAAGTGTGTGCTTTTTTGGTCCTAGAAACTATTTCCTGGCAAGATGCATTTTCAATTCCAAGTACAGACAAAGACAAAAACAGACTTTAAAGACACATAAATTATATTCATTATGTTGTTTTGAAGCTAGTTAATGTAACCAGAGTTGTAGGTTGAAAGTCTGGGGAGATATGCAGTTGATAATGGTACCAGATACTGTATAAAAAATGTATCAAAATGTGGTAACACTTTACTTGAGGGGGCACAACTTAGTAACTCAGTTACTACTCAAGTATTAATCATGAACAAACATGGAATCAGTATGAAACTACCATTTAGTTTGTGGTTGATCAATACATTAAGTAAGCGTGTACTACTGCATTATTTGTGCTCCCTCGTAGTGTTAACACATGTGAGATATAACTTGGAGCTGGAAATCTCACAAAAAAATTATATCGAGACAATTTCAATTTGTTTGTTTTAATCATTTTTTAATACCCACATTTAAATGCAGTTCTGAATCAGGCAAGCACTCATATGAAAGGCCTGAATGTGCACCTTGGATAGGAATTGGAGATTTAGATGTCCAGTGTATTTGTCTACTGAGAGCTCTATGAAGCTGTCTCACTTTGAGTACCAGCTGTTTATTGTGTCCTCTCTGTACTGAAAGACTTGTTTATTGCCAGCCCAGACCGCTCTGTGTTTTATAAGGGTGATGATTTGCTGCCAAAGGCGTCATTATTAAACTGGAAGGAGACAGAGGAAGGAACATATTGTCTGCGCATGGTGGACCTCTGTTTTACTTCTTGAATGGAACTCCAGAATGAGATTTGGCTGTTATAAGAGGGACGGTGGGAGGGGGGAAATAAAGCCCACTCTGTGACATTGCCAAGAATTAATAGTTTTGCAGCCACAAAATCTTGAAAATATATCAAGGACTTTTTAAAATTATGTGGCGTTGACTGAAAAGCAGGAGAGACTTGGCTTTTGTGTTTTTTTAAACAGAGAAGGGTAATTTTTTTAATACAGCTATACTCCGCTGTGCCTGGATGCAAGCGTGACTGCCTGAAATGGATTGGACCGCAGTGTGCTCTGTGCTGCAAGAGAGAACCAATGGCCCATTTTAATTGCAAAAAAAGAATGTTGTAGCCTGGTGTCCAATAGATCATGCTAAACGAGTCCCGCAGTGCCAGAGGGACAGGCTGCATACTGCTCTGCCTTTTGTCTTACGCCATCGCGCCACTAAAGTCTGGGAATCCACCCAAAAACAACCTGCCTTGTGCTGGAGGGCAGTCCAGCGTTTTTTCTCTAGCAGCAGATAGTGATATGTACTGTATTTCTAACATCTAGAGGTGGAAAGTGTCCCGGTGTTAAAATCAAAAGGTGTTAAAAACAAAAGGTGTTAAAATCAACTACAAAAAATGCCGACCTGCATATTTTAGAGTGTAATTTAATTTCATTTCTGGGATTTGTTTCGGGATCCTATATTGTCAGAGATTATCAGAGTACAGACATTAGTGACTAGTCTGAGTTAGAGGGCTTCTGGGGGTTTGGTTTGACATGAAGCCAATAATGGATGAACTCATATGCTGTTGAACATAGTTACTTTTTATATTTATACATATGCCTTTTAAAAACAAAAATATTAATTGTTTTCTCAACTGTGTGTTGAGCAGTTAAGTAATAGGTCAATTATTTATCTGTCATTTTGAGTTATGGAGGAAATTGAAAACCCATCAGTGTGTTTATGGGTCCAATAAAAGTTCCTTCGAGTTTGATGTTGCTGTACCGACCACTGGGACATCAGGAGTCGCACACCGGATTTTCAGGCGTGGAACCGTGGTACAGCCTTCATGTTGTGTCTTTACTTTGGATTGACCTGCACGTTTAAGTAAGCCTTAACCTCTTATTATGAGAGCATGTTACGCTATGCAAACACCTTTATATGGCTTTGAAAAAAAATCCAATCATTTGATTTTCATTCATTTCACAGTCCAAAAACGTCCTGTTTCACATTTCCAGCAAATTTCCCAAACAGAGTATAAATGAGGGATGATAGAATATATGCAAGTGCATTTTCAAACTTACCTCACAATAATAGTAGTGAGCCTGCACTGGATCCTCATTCATGATTTTAAGACACTTGTGACTTCCAGTGAGCTGTGCTACAGATTCGTTTGGCCTCGTGTCAGACGGGAATCACAGGTGGCCCTGTCCTCTCAGCTAGCATGCAAACCCATGACTAATAAAGCAATGCCTAATGACTTCCATCTTAATTTTGGGTTTCTCCCAATTGTAATGTACTTCAAATGTCAATTTTTCTTTCGAAAGCCAGGTTGTAAGATCTCATGAAGTCAATGCATTTATCAACTTATTATTTTTGTAAATAGTTATGGTTAGCAGTACCATTATTTATAATGTTTAATGTGCGGTTGAACTTTTTATATTTGGCTTGCATGAATCTGTTTAGGCTTCTGCTAATACAACCAAAAGTGTATAAATGGACCTTAACATTTAACGATTTGGTTTAAGCCTTTGCCATTGTAAGCAGACTCAAATCCTCATACTTTCATTTATTTCTAGGGGATCAATGTAAATTTTATCAAAAAAAACGTGAATTTTGGTTAAAGTACGACACGTCTACAAGTTGGTTTTGTGATGCCACATTTGTGCACCCGAGCAAGAATGAAACAAAAGGCCCGGCATAAAGATTAATGATGAGATAATCGTTTATGTAACACAAGCTGCGCCGTGTCGGAGCAAATCCTCCCCGCCAGCCTGCGCTTCTTCCGGGGTTTCGACGCCATCCGTTTCGCCCGTCACATCATGCCTAGCAGCCCGCTCTTGAAGTTCAGAGGGCTGTCTACACACTTGACAGCACTCATTATTCAGCGATGTGACTCGGATCGCTGTTAATTAGCAAAGTCTGTGGCTCAAGTCTGTAAATCATCTTCCAGAGAAATTTCATGATTCACACATGACGGTGGTGTGAGCAGGCCTCCGTCATCTCTCGCTCGCCGGCCTACTTTTCTGTCAGTTTCCGTCATGAAAAATGTATCTGTGCAACTTTAATGAGGTAACGCAATATGCCGGCGTAATGCAATATCAATATGAAAAGGAGGTGCTAACAGCTCGATCTTCGTTCGATCCCTTTCAGGTTGACGCTCTGAGGTTGCGCTTGGAAGAAAAAGAGTCGTTCCTCAACAAGAAGAGCAAGCAACTTCAGGACCTGACGGAAGAGAAGGGGACACTGGCTGGGGAGATTCGCGACATGAAGGATATGCTGGAGGTGAAGGAACGGAAGGTCAACGTCCTTCAGAAAAAGGTATGTGGCTGTCGGCTCGTGGAGAGCCAGTCGCGGCCGCTGTGTCCCCCACATGGCCGGGGGGTCGATGCCCAGTTCCCTCCCCCGCTGCCGTGTCAGCGTGAGGCCCTTCCCCACTACACAGCCCCATAGCATGACAGTGAAAGAAGCCTATTCACCGCGTAGCCACCGGAGATACCGGATCGCTGCTGGCCCCGGCCAACACAAACAGAAATCATGCGCACGTCTCCACAGACGTATGTGCTTCTTTTTTCACTCACTGGTTTTTTTTTTTTGTGTGCACATTTGTTCTCATTTACTTTATCGGTGCTCCAGTGTGCAGTGGTCAGCCAGGAAAACCGACAGCATGGTGGCTCTAGCCACTGGATACTTACTGGAAAAATCTATGGGAAACACAGTGCACTCTGACACACACGGGCACAGCAGCTCACCCTCCTAACAAACACTAGTTATCTTTATAGCTATAATCAGTCACATTTATAATGATTCACGAGTGATTCAGTGAACGGAATCTAAATGTGACACCAATGTAAGGTTATGAAATGAAGTTGATGATTATGGATGCTGGCGTAATGGGCACCGTGCATCAATCATGGTTAGCGGTAAAAGGATTATGGCAACCTCATTAGTGGCTGGGGGAGGAGCCAGCCAAGCAGCCTGTCATGTACTAGTCACTGTACCTGCTAATTACAGCCCTCAGGACGTCATGGTATTTAGTGAGCCAGGAGCTGTTTTTCCTTATCTTTATGAATGTTTTCTTGATCGAAGAAATGACTTTTTGGCGTTCTTCTGACTGCTGAACTTTTATTATAAAAAAGTAGATGATTATGCCCCCCCCCAGAATCTGTTGACTCATCTTCCAGTTAATCTGCTCTGCCATTTACACAGAACGCCCAGGACATCAGCTCCTCACTGTGCTTTGAATAATGCACCCTGTCTTAATTGCTCCCTTGGCGGGGGTGGAGGCCGCGCTGAGACAGGCGTTAATGAGGATTAGTGGTTTGGCTATGACATCACGCTCTGGGGGTGTCGCCCACACAGTGCCGTGCTGTGTCTGACCTTTCTGGGAGGATCTTTACCCTGTCAGACGCTGGACGCATGTGGCATTTGAGGGGAAAACCCCTATTAGCCTGTCCCCAGCCTTTCTCTCTTCTTCTGTTTCATGTTGCTTGTGCTCTCCGGGTTATATGTGATTAGGCCCCTAAACAGTGCACCTCATAAGCCCCTGGCCTGCCACTGGCTTCCCACTCGAGCCGGCCTGTCAGCACCTATTCCCATTAAGCAGCGAGAGATGCTTTGCTCAGTCTGAAACGGAGTGGCCTCAGAATGGGGCGTGAGAGAGTTTCCTGCCTGCCCCCCCCCCCCCTTCCCTGGCCCCCGGGGTGTCTTACAAATATATATTTCTCTCTCTTGCTTTCGCTCCCCAGTATATACATCAGCACTTTCACTGTGGGAACAGCCTTTGCCTCGCACTTCCTTTGCAGCTTCCTGGGAGGTGTTGCATGTGCGCGCCGTGTGACTGGATGTAAACACACCGTCACCCGTCTCCTTTAAGCCTGCCTTAATGTATCAGGAAGCACAAATGATACCGGATTATGCGTAATGTTTTATGGGAGACCATAGCAAAGGCAGATCCAGACTGGGACCCTTGCTAGACGTCCTGCGACATTGGATTAAGGGGCTGCTTTGACTTCCCTTAGTTGACTGTAAACAGATCCGTAATCATATAAAATTTCATCAGATTTAGCTTATTTAGCGCATCTATGCATCTATCTTCAATCTGCATCTCCAGGAGAATATCATGGAGAACCTGCAGCTTATCCCAGGGAACACAGGGGAGCACCCTGGACAGAATGCCAGTCCTAAACATGTTCCTAGTGACCTATTACTGATGCAGTGAAATGATTAAAAATCAGCCCCTGCCTGTTAGAACAAAACAAAAAAGTCTTATAGGTCTTTCTCTGGGAATTCACTATGGACGCTTCTGATCTTTCGGCCTCCAAAAAGCAAACTGTATCAATAATGGCTATATTTACCTAAAGTGGCTGTCATGTATAACAGAAACCCGGGACCATGTTTAAAGAGTTTACATTGGTCTCAATTTAAGATAAATTTTAATACACAGGAAGTTTGCTTTCAGAAATATTTTACAGGTGTTCCAAGTCATTAATCACAGAGTAAATATTGTGCAGAGCTTTGGAAGGACCTATTGCCATGATAGGTTTTCCAAACTTCCTGTTTCCCATGTGCAAGTGAAATCTATAAATTACACTCTCCCCAGGTGCCAGGTCTGGGGTAGACTGTAGGCCAATATGTTGCTGCTAGGCTCAGAATTAAAACTTTATTTCTTCCCAGGAACAAGACATATTATTTGTATGGCTGCCCCAGAGCACAATTTCAAATGTTATAGATATAGTTCACAAAGGGAGTAATCAGGTGCTGAGGCTACTAGTTACAGTATTTTAAAAAGGAAACAGCTGGCTAGCAGTTGCATTATTAGTGTATTTATGTGTGTATGTGTTTGTTGGATTGAGTTTTTAATTCAGCATATACTGTATGTATGGGGCGGCGTGGCAGTGCAGTGGTTAGCACTGTCACCTCACACCTCTGCGATCTAGGGTTCCATTTGTCTGGAGTTTGCATGTTCTCCCTGTGTTGCTATGGGGCTTTCTTAAGGTACCTTTATGCCCCCCCCCAAGACCCTGAATAGGACAAGCACTTAATGAAAATGGCTTCATGGAGTACAGGTATATGCATGTGTTTACACCACGTCACCATTTATTTTCCTTGGTTCACGCACGTTGTACGCATGAATTAAGTGGATGATCTCAATGGAAGTGTGTGGCCAAAGAGCCAGAATTGAATAGCGCTGTTATAGGAAATGATCCCCCCTATAACCTAAAAAGTGGCTTTTAGGAGCATTCATAATTGCTCCACGGGGAACAGAAAAGAATCTTAAAGCTTAAAGAATGTTTCCACCAAAAAAAGGTAAGAGATTAGGAACAATGTTGGGCTGGTGCATCTGTTTTGAAGTAAGAGAGAAGGAATTCCTCAGTCTGGTTGTGCTGCTCCCGGCTACGAGCCAGCTGTCCCTGCTTTGGTCCCCATTTCGGTTGATGAGTACGAGTTACCTGCTTCCACCAAACTGGTAATGACGGCTTTTATGTAAATTATTTATAATGATGCACGGTTACATCATTATAAATAGTTGGGTAAGGAGAATGGCTAATCTGTGAACCTACCCCCAGCCGAGGCGATTCACTCCCACCTTTTTAGCGTGCCCAGGAAATTATTAATCGCTTGAAGTTTGCGAATTGTTTCGTGTGGCCTTTTACAAAAGGGGGGCAAAGAGCAACCGGCGGGAAACCGGAGTCGGTCTGGCTGCTAATCCTGTGATGCCACGGCAGCAAGTGAGCACGTGTGCATGAGTTGGGTGGCTTTTGGGGGGGGGGGGGGGGATTCTGAGGCTCAGGCTGTGGGTGAGTGGGGAGAGGGACGCGGGGACCATGTGCGCCCACACTGGCAGAGGCGGAGGCGCCTTGTACAGATCAGAGTCGGCGAGTGTGACTCTCCCCTCAGCTGGGGACAGATTCTGTACTCCGACGGCGGCCACCTGCCATCAAATACCAGTCCGAACAAGACCGTCGGCCAGCCACTGCTGTAAAATAACAGCTCCCCGCATGGGCCATCACCACCACGACCCCCTGTGCCTGTGACATGCACACGTTGTGTCCGAGGGGGGGGGTGGGAGCTGCACATTCGAGAGAACTGCCAAGACTCCCATTTCCTGGAAGTAACAGACCAGGGCAGAGTCAACGGCTGCAGAGTTTGGCGACATTTTGGCAGCTTTCACCTTTGTAATCGGGAGGAAGTTCTGTCAAGCCAAATTATAACTATGTTTAAATATGAAGGTATACAGTCTCACTCAAAATAAAAACAGCACTTCAGTGTCATAGTGTTTACAATGCCATGTTCCCATAAAATGGAAAGCTGGTCACATATGGAGGAAACTATTAGAAGAAAACAGTCCATCTGTCCTTCCTATGGCTTATCTAGTAAAGGTTTTCAGAATAAACTAGAACCACTGGTAAAATTGCTCAGTTAATTACATTTAGGAACAAATTCTGCCCATATGTTTTTATATTGCTTTTTTGGTGGTAGTGATTATAATAGGAAACATTCAAACCCTATTGCCTTGCAGTATGTACATTTTTGGTAAGATATCAAAACAAGATTATTGTGTGAACAAGCTGTTATTAGCCTCTTGAAAGGCTTCACGGCGTGTTCGTCCTGGGGGATGCCATGCTGCTCCCATGAAGGAATATTTTCCCTGAACTCATTGCTCAACTGTACCTTATTGGCTAGTCAATACTTGACTTAAATGAAGGCTGCATGTTTGATTTACGCTTGATATAAGTGGCACATTGACACTGTAGTGTTCACTGTGATTGTTCTTCGATAGCATGATTTGGAGGTTTAAAGAGTCAAGGAGCCTTCATTCCAAAATGAAAGAATCAGAGAGAATACAATCAGAATCAGAGAGAATACAATCCTGCACAATGGAAATGGGTGGGTTATCAGCAGACTGAATTCAGCTATTTAAGTCCTATTCATGGGCTGTCCTCTGCGTCTACAAACATCAGCAACGGCATTTAAATGTAATTTATTAGTAGCGGGGTGTGTGTGCTTTATAATTGTGTATGCTGTTGTCAGTGAAGACAAGAGTACCTCTGAAATGAACACCTTAACGACCAGGCTGCATAAGCAGCTGCCAAGGGCATAGTCAGGGAATGGATTGGGGGGCTTATTCTGTACTAGGGGGGGACAATGGCAAGGTTATATATACTATAAAAAAACTATTCAGCTAATAAATATACATTTATTTTGGGGGGGCTAAAGAACATTTTAGGGAGGCTTTATGTCTAACGACGGCCCTGGTGACTGAGCTGCCTGAGAGGATGCCAGTCAGCATTGGTACCTGTAATCCATGAACATGTGGT